TACAGCATGATGTCACAGCCAGGATCCCAGTTATTGACCTCGCCTTTCAACCAGAGAACACACCTGCAGCTGCTACAAAACATTGGGTACGAGCCACAGCTGTAGTGGTTCAGCTGATTCCTGCCCAGATCAGGGAGCAAAGATGGGCATATGATGCATCAAAAATTCAGCTACTCGCATTGCCTTTTCATTAACTGTTGAGAGTCACAGCTGGGCAAAGGAAGTAGACGCTCCCGGGGACCGAGCAGGTGGGAGAAATGAGAAAAAATGTTAAAAACTTCTAAAAATGACATTACTGAACAAAATACTGTCTCCACGCAGACTGGCACAGGAACGTCTGCGGATCAAGCATTCAGAACTACTTCAGGTTTCATGGGCTTGTGGTGACCCAGGTCTGCGTTCTTCAACCCATATCCCAAACTCAAGGAAACTCATGCAGCTGAGTTCTGGGAAATAAGCGCCTTTCACATGAAAGGAAACAGCTCAGGTAGTATTACACGTCTGTCTGTGGCCCTGAAAAACCATAACTTTTTCAGGACTTCTTTTAGTTCTATATTCTTATAGAAAAAAATCACAAAAAAGCACAAACCCTAGTGATTTTGTTTTCTGCCTACATAAAAGGTCTTTTGCTTTTATTGGTTTCTCTCTCCTTTTTAAACCAGTATTTACCCAGTGTTGTAGCTAACTTTTCCTGTAGCTCCAGTATGTCGCTATTTTCTTTTGGTTTTTGCTTGCATCCACAAGGCTACTTAAAATTCTATGCCATGCTCCCAAAACCACTCTCCATTTCCCAACCCAAGATACTCTCTTGCCTTCTAAAACCAGTCTCTCCCTTTCCTTGGCTTTTTTTATTTCCCAACATATTTTCTCACCTTGTTCCACCCACTCCTGGGGACAAGGAGACAGCTCAAAGCTAACGATGGCTCTTGAGCAAGCAGCATCTCTAAAGGCATCCCAGATTTTTCACATTTCTCCTGCACATGCTCCCAGAGCTTCCTGTCTGCAATTCAATCCTGTGTGGACCCAAGGAAAGGCCTAAAATGAGGCAGCCCAGGCTCTTTTTCACCCCCAAAATCCATGCATTGAGAAGCATTTAAAAAGACCAGATGGGCAAGCTTTGTGGGAGACAGGGTGGACTTTCCATCTGGTAGATCATTTCATGTCTTCCCTTAGCTACGTTTTAGCTTTCATCTTGCAACCTGACAGACTGGGATGGAAAGAAAGTAATGACTGGAAAAGACCAGACAGGTCACCGATGAGCCTCTGGGGCTGGAGCCACGTTTACTGCCCACAGTTTGCAGCCCTGGCATGCGATTGCCACCTGTACCGTGCACCAAAATAGCACCAAGAAAGCATCATTTCAGTGACACCCTTGGGTGTTAACAATTTTAGTTTTTAGGGAGCAGGATGCAGCTGGGACAGAAAAGACCCCATGGCCACTTCTCAGCAGTGCTCAGATCAACATTCCTCCCAGCTCCCTTTCATAAGCCCCTTGAGAAAACAACTGATGGAGGAGGCTGGGTGGTGGGAATGTCTGCCTAGGCATGCTGGGAATTAGGCCTGGCTTGCCCCAGAGCTGAGTGAGACCTGTCAGTGTTCCTAGGCAGCAGAGATATAGCTCTCTCCTTTTAGTAGAGGCTGGGCAATAGTAAATATCTCTCCTGGAAATGGAGAAGGAGCATGAACTCATTTTGCCTCCAAACAGTCTCCACACTCAGATTTCTGGCACTTGGTGAGGTTTTCCCTCAAAATTTGCTCTTCCTCCTCTCCTCACAGGCAGTGAGATGGTGGCAGGGCCACCCAGAGCCCCTCTTCCTGCAGGGAAGAGCACCATCGCCTGTGCTGATGGGCGGCTCTGCTTCTGGTCCAGGAAAGGTGCTTCTGGAAATGAGGTCTCACGGTGTTCACCAGGAACTCAGCACAGCTGCTGTAGCTCTTTCCTTCCAAAATTGTCATGCCAGAAAGGGATGCAGCAGTTTCCATCACGTCTTCGAACACAAAACAACCTCCTCCTCCACCTCCCCCAGAACAAACCTGCAGCCACCACCAACAGGCCAAGGGGCATAAAGCTGCAGCAGCAGTCGGGGGGAAGTCATGCTGCAGAGCTGCAGCTCATCCTGCTCTTCTGAGCAATTGCTTGCAATCAACTTTGACAAAAGGACCTTTTTCCAAGGCAGTCACTGCAGTTGGTGGGGCCAACGGTAAAACAGTCAGACAGCCTGAACCTTGGTCTCGGCCACTTCACATCTTCTGGGGACCCATCTCCTTGCCTCTCATAGACCACTTGTTCCTAACCATGGGGCACCAAGATCTGGTGTCATGTTCGTCTCCTGAGCTCACCTCGCTGTCGTGATCATAAAATGAAGTGGCAAAAGGGACAGGGTGGTGGTGCTTGGGAGGGAGGAAGGAAAGGAAGGAAGGAAGGAAGGAAGGAAGGAAGGAAGGAAGGAAGGAAGGATGTAGCTGCAGTGCAGAACGGTGACAGGGGAATATCATCAACCATGGGAACCAAGCGTCTGTAGGTTTTGATAGTGTAAAGGCTTGTGACATTGGCCAAAAGAGAAACCATAGCATGAAAGCAAGAGAGAAGGGCGGACGAAATTGTGGCCTTGCACAATCTGGCACAGTGCCTGGGAGCCACGAGAGCAAGAAGCCATTTGGGGAAGAGACAGGCAGCCTCAGGGAAGAGTTTTGGAGACATTGGGCCATTACCGGTCATTGCTGCTTCTCCCCTTGTACAGAATTTCCAGTCCTTTTAGCCAAAGCAGCCTGCAGACAAACGGAGCCAGGCCAGGGCTAGTAAACTTTCAGGCAATCTTTTTCCCTTCAAAGGTGAACCTAAATAAGCAGATGAGAAAAAACTAGATGTATTCTCCCACAGGAACAATATCCTGCCATCGAGGGGTGGCATGGTATGCCGTTCCTGTGTGCAGACTCCTAGCACTGGTCCGCATCCTGGTCCCTGACCATGCCATCTTTGGTGTCCAAGTTGTGAGCTCCTGGTGCCTGTTCAGTAGCAGTCTGTCCAGCCTCCATTGGCCTGAGTCTGTCCCACTAGTCCAGATCTCTCTAACATGCAGAAGAGGGTCACAGTTTTACTCCAACCCATTATCTTCCACCCCAAGCTTGCACTGCTCTTTACACAAGCACAGAACAAACCGACGGCCACTGCTGCCACCACAAACCTTGTAGCAGTGTCTGAAACCATAAGCCAGGTCATGCCAGAGCCATGGATGGGAGGTGGAGGTTGGCAAGAGACAAGGCAGATGAGGAGAGGATGTAAAATCTTCCCCTTTCAGTAGCTGGCCATACCCAGGTCTCCGTCAGTCACCCATCTCCCCTTAAATCCTAGCCATGAATACTACTCTGGCCATGGGGCAGGACCCAAGACCCCTCCTCCGTCTCCTCTTCCCCATCTGCATTCCCTTCCAGGCAAGCACCACGTCCGAGCAGGCTATTTTTGTGCTGGCGGTTGTCGTCTTCTCAAATTGCCTTGACAATGCCTGTGGTGCCCGCTCCCTGCCTCCTGAGAGCAGCTGCCAAACTGAGGTCCCCCCTCATCCTCCATTAGCCACAGGAAAAATTAAAAAAAAAAAAAAAAACAGAAAGGTTTTATATTCTCAGCCCAGTCTGGACGGACGGGATTCAGCATCTGACTCAGCCTCTCCCCAGGTTGGGATTATTTCCCACTGGAGGGAGATGGGCTATAGGGAGGATGCTTCTGTCTCTCGCTCGCTGTCCCCACCACCCCTGTCGCTGCCTGTCAGGCCTTTATCCTCATTGAGATGCAAGGCTGGCCGCTGCGGCCATCCGCTGAGCCGTCTGCTCCTGGAGGCACCTTCCCCTCCTTCCCCCTCCTCCTCCCGGGGCTGCCTGTGGAGCTATTCTTCAGCCTCTGCATTTCACAACAGCTCAAAGGCAGATGCATCAATCCTTTCAGGGGACGGGGACGTGAGGAGCATGGCAAGGGGGCTGCAGGCAGGTGTTGGTAGGTTCCCAGCCATCTCACAAGCCTCGTCCCCCTCCCTGTCCCCCGCTGGCTTGTGCCTGGCACTTGGACTGAGGCATGGGGCAGGGACAAGGAAGAGAAGAGGATGAGGAGGAAGAGCACTGGGATACACTGACCCCATAGACATGCTCGGGCGGGACGCAGGCAGGCTCCCGGTTGGGAGCACGGATCCGACCCTGACTGCTGCGGGTTTACACCAGGGACTAATTTGGCCCTGGTGCAGACAGCTGAGGGAGTGGGAAACAACTCCATGGCCACAGCGAGTGTGAAGGGTGGGGAGGGGTGGGGGTGGAGGTGTTGTTCCTCTCAAAGTCGCCACTTGCACTGGGTGCCCTGGGCGAAGGGTACGTCTGCCTCGCACACCGGAACGGGGTAGGGATGATTCAGGAACAGGTCTCCAGGACCCCCCCTCGACTCCCTCGCGCAGTCGCTTCTGTCCCGCTGCTCTCCCGGCTCTGGCCATGGGGCAGGAGGGAGGTGTGGGTCTGGCCGGTTCGCCGTCGGCGGGAGGGCGGCTGGTTCCCGGTGTGAGTTTTACCCGTAGGTGCCACAATCCTTTTGACTGTGTGTTTGAAAGCCTTGAGTCTATACATTTAAGAATCAGTAAATTAGAAAAATTGTCCTGAAATGTTGGAGGGAGGAAAAAGGCAGGAAGGCAGAGAGGGATGGGGAAGGGCTGAGAGGGAAGGAGGAAGGGAGGAAAGGGGCTGGTAAAAGAGAGTTCATCCAGGGGCACTGCCCTGGCTTTGCGCCCATCACCTGCGGGCTGGGAAGGAGGGAGGGAGGCAAGGACGAAAAGGGAGGATTGATTTCACACATTCAGTGCATATCATACAACCAGGGCAAGGCTTTCCTCCCGGGACTCCTTCCCGGGATGGCATCACTGCCGTAGCCAGTCTAGAGCCCTGCCCAGCAGCCCAAACCATACTCACGGCAGGGTTACGATTCACTGCTTCATTGCTCAGGGGAAAGATACCTTCTCCTTTCTTTCTTTTTTTTTTTTTTTTTTAATTATATATATCTTTTTAAGTACTTTTTTCTCCCTTTTATGTTTCTTTTTTTTTTTTTTAAGTCTTATAATTCTCTGTAACAGCAGCTTCTTTCTGTATTGGTGTGGAAGTTATATATAGACAGATATCTATAAATATATATAAGCCAAACTGCCTTACAGGTTGTTGTTTTGTGGGATTTTTGTTGGTTTGCTTTTTGTTTTGTTTTTTTTTTTTCAGTGTTGTATGTGTAGCAGGCACTTGAGTTTATATGAAGATGTTTGCTTGGGAGCTGAGGGGCAAAGGACTTGGGAGGGGGAGAGGGAAGGAAGGACGGAAGGAAGGAGCAGGGGCTTTCAACAAGTGGCCACTGCTAGCCAAGGATGTCCAGGTAGATTGGTGTGGCCTTGCCCAGAGCGTGAAGGATCTTGTAGATCTCCTTGATGTTGAGCCGTTGCTGAGGTTCTCTCTGCCAGCAGCCCAACATGATGTCGTAAACCTCCTTGGGGCAGACTCGAGGCCTTTCCAAAACTCGGCCTTGAGTAATGCACTCAATGACCTGAAAGAAAGAAAGAAAAGAGACATTGAGCACCAGTTGGGCAGTACCTGGAGGATGTCCTCTCCCAGCTACATCTTGGCTGATGTGGTGCCATTTAGCGAACAGGAGTGCTGAGAAGCCAAGAGGTCTGCAGGTCCTCAGTGCTCAGCTGCTTGTATGTTGTTAATGATCATTTTACAGTGAAAAGTTTGTCTCCAGCTGCAGTCTTGCAGTTCCCAGAAACCTTCTTCATTTGACACCTACCTATCTCAATGCACTCTCCAAACAGGAGGTCACTAGCAAACGAAATGAAGTTTTAATTTTTGATGTCAGTTCTTCCTGTCAGCTGAAGAAGAAAAAAAAGCCTTAAAATCCCCAAACTAAAGTAATATTTTGCACAGCTGAAATGATTTTTTTTTTTTTCCCCTGAAAATCAAGCGTCCTTTCCACTGCAAAGCCCAGGAGAGTTCTACAAGGAAGAGGTCAGAGCATCTTTTCCTACCTCCATCTCCAAGGGCAGCTTTGCCTCATTTTGACATAGAAAAGCAGCTGAAAGAATGAAATTTCATCTCAAATCACATCTGTGATGGAGAAAAAATATCTGCAGTGCTAACACTCTGTTCTGGGTCAGGTCGGTGCTGCTAATGAGAGAAACGTGAGCTCTTGGACAGCCTTAAAGACTCTTCAGAGGGATGCCATTGGAAAGGACTCTCCTAAGTGTCTGTATTTTGTTCACCCGAGGAATGGATGCATAGGGAAGGGGGGTATGATTTGTCAGAGAGCTGCTATTATCGTCTGGCCTCCTTGGTTGGAATTGATGAGTCCCAGCATTGCAGCGAGTGAGTGACCTGCCACGCTCCACAGATAAACACAGATCCCAAGCAGTGTGTTGAGGGAAGCCACCCAGCAAGGGGTGTTCAGAATTTATCATTTATGAATAGTAACGCACCTGCCACACAGCTCAATGGATACTTATCACTTTGCTGTTTGCATATAAATACGGAGGGGAGAGATTAGGACCTGCTGAAAGTGGGGCGAGGAAGAGGAAGCACGCAGAGAAACCTGCATCGCCGTAACGCTGCTGGCAGCGGTGACCGATGGGAGGAGGTGAGTTATGTCTTCTGACAGGACATCCTGGACATGCACAGGAGCCCTGTGGTGGATCCTTTCTCTCCAGGGTAAAGGAAGGGCATAGACAGAAGTTAATGGACTGGCTGAGGCTTTGAGATGAGGTGGTGCCCTGGCTTATCCCTCTGCTCAGGCAAGGGCTCTTCCAGCCTTGAACAAATCTGCTAAAATCACTCTAGGGGCACGAGGCCATGCGGATGCCACAGGATGGGGCGGGCATCCCAGCCTTGATAATACCCACACCCAGCAGCAGCGGTGCTCAGCCAGCTCAGTGATGGCACAACGGTCTGGTCCTGGCAGCTTGGAGCCTGACACAGGCTCACTTAACCTGCCTCTCCACGGGGCTCTGCAGCTGCGGCCGGGCTGCCTCTGAGATTTGCTCTGACACCCCACCAGCCAGGAGCTGGTGGAGGTGTCAGTCCTCTGCAGTCACCCAGGTTCTGCTCAGCTCTCCACAAATCATGCAAAATGAAACAGATGAGACCTAACATGGCTCCCTCCCACCAGGATGGTGTGGTCTGAGATGGAAGTCTTCAGCTCTCAGAAATAAGTGGATACAGCAATAGGAAAGGATGAGAGTTTTGCAGGGATGGTAGGAAAAGCTGATACAGCTGTGTCTGTGCAGATTTTAGGCAGCCCTCCTCCCTCAAGATTAGGAGTGACTACTTAGTCCTGCTGCCCTGCAAAAGAAACTGAGGCAGAAAGCACGAGGGCAGCTGAGCTGTCATATTCCAGCATGCCTGTCACCTGTGTACGAGCTACACGTGCTCATTTGTGTGTGTTTGTATTTACTGTCCCAGGGAACTGCAAGAGCAGCTCATTAAACAGCGTGACAAATAACTTCTGTCGCTGTCGATTCCATTGTTTGTGTCTCTAAAATGTTTGCGTGTGCTACTTTGGGATGTACAGTCAGGCCCCATTGAGCACACGAATGGGCAAGTATTAGAGCTGTAAAGCAACACCTTGGATTTGCCGTCTCTGCAACTCACTTAATTAAGGGATCTGTATCCAGAAAGCAGAAAATGCACATTTCTCATTACAAAAGGTGAAATTTCTGAAATCCATTAGATACACAGTAGGATAAAAATGTGCAAGGTTCCCACACACTGCTATGTCAATGCATCTTGTTCCTCTTCTATAATACCCCCTGCTATTCTGAGCAAAAATCTTCCAATGCATTTCTGCTGATGTGCCTCAAACCCGAGCTCTTGACACTCTGCTAATCCCAGCCAGCCTTCCCTCAACATTTTTACTGTACAGCCCAAAACTGATGGGCTGCAACTTTTGCTATTCAAAGAAACAACAAGGATGAACCAGCTCCTTGGGTCCCACCCTCAATGAACTGGGGCAAACCATATATAGTACATATCCCTATGGAAAAAAGCCCCATAGAAATGTGCCACATGCTATATAACAGGCTTCAAACACTTCCTCATAAACTGAAATCTACAGTAAGACTCTCAACTATAAAGTAAGAAGAAGAAGAGTAGAGAAAATGCAGGGCATAACAATAACTTAGATCCCAGGAGTAATTTCGATATCCTTAGTTCTGGCAGCACCCCAAGGGTTTATCCGATGTGGCTGTTACGGACGTACGTCAGGAACTTAGAGAGGAGAGACTGAGGATGAGCCAGTACATGGCTTTGGCAGAGCCCTTTGAGTCCTGCATGCCTCAGTTTCCCCAGTTCTTAAACAGAGATAATGACACTTCTCCTGTGGTGAAGCCATAGGAGAGCCAAGGAAGGGACCGTCTGTGTACGAGCTGCTTTACGAGCAATCTGAAAAGGAGAGATGGTAAAAAGTACAGTTTCCAGCTGAGGTGTCTCAGCACCGTTATACCTCTGTGTTTGAGAGTTGAAACCAGGGCTGCTTCCCATACGTGAAGATCTCCCAGAGGATCACCCCGAAGCTCCAGACGTCACTCTCTGTTGTGAATTTCCTGTACATGATGCTCTCCGGAGGCATCCAGCGGATAGGCAGCATGGTGTGTCCTCCAACCTGAGTGAGGGCAAAAGCACAAGGAAATCTCAGCAATGAGAGCCCCGCAGAAGAGGTCAACCCTGACATGATGTGGACAAACTCAGGGTCTCCCTGTGAGATACATCAACAAGGAGCTGCTCAAAACAGCTGGGCTGGCTACTGCCTCCCTGACCGCCCATGGGTTTACCCACCAATCCCACCTGGTTAACATGATGGATTGGGAGTGAAATGTAACGAGATAAATGATGTCCTCTCCTCCCAAAATGGGCTTGTAAAGAAATCAAATAGCAAAATGCCAAAAGCATACTCCAGCCGCCAGTCTGATGAACCAGAAGGCAAGACAAGAAACAGTGTTCGGCGAAGAACTGTGCTGAGTTTTGCAGGGCCTCAGTGCTCTGAGGCACCTGCCAGAAATGCAGCGTTGAGGTTTGTCCCTCTTCGCTGAGGTTTTCTGAAAGCCGTCCACAGGCATCTGCACATCACCTAATTACATGAAAGATTTTGTGCTCATAAAACTGTGCTACAGGCCTTTTCAAAGAGTGCTTTGAATATGTAAATGACTGCAGGACCGCACTGCAAAAAGGCGGTCTGTTGGTAAAGAACAGGCTCTCACAGGCAGGGATATGCCCAGCATTTACTGGAGGCAGGAAAGCCAGCCCCTTTGGAGAGGTTGGAAATGGAAGAGCCCATGGGGATATGCCAAGCCAGGGAAAGGCACTTTCTCCATCAGGGTCTACCCTTCCCTAGGGCACATGAATCCAGCAGGTACACAGCAGGTTTGTAGGATACGTGCAAACAGTTTGAAAGCAGATGGATTTACCTTCGGATTCACTAGAGATTTCTAAACAAGTGTCTCTGAGCAGGACAAGATTTTCTCTGTTCTGTCTTTCCACATAAGAAGCACCATCTGTGGGGAAATCGCTAATTGATAAGACCAGCCGGTGCTGGAAGCAGTATGGCTGCAAGTCTCCAACACTCGTTTCTGCTGAGGGTGAAGTGTCTGAGGTTTTAGTGAAGATGAGAAAGAGTGGTTTTTTGGTGCTGTTTGGAAGACCGCTTGTCTCATTATGGACACCAAAAAAGCAAGCACTAATAATTTTGTAGCGCTGCAACTGAATCAAAGAGGCAGAAATCTCTCTGGTCCTATGACGGACCAAGGGAGGAGGTAGCTAGTATCTGGGTTTCCAGCATACGTACGGCTGTTCAAAATAATGAGATCGTTGGCACTTGCTTGGATGAAAATGTCTCCTGTACAAACAAAAGCTCTCCTCTGAGCTGCCAGTTTTCCCAAGCTCCCACAGGTTTCTTTGCCTGATTAAAGTAGAATTAGTGTGGAGAAGGGGCAGTACGGAGCCACATCACAGTGCTTGGAAGCAAGAGGGACAGCGCTGGGGAGGCGTGCTGGGGTGGTGTGGAATGGATGTGATGCCCAGCAGGCTTTCTGCACAGAGGGTGCGAGTCAGACTCATCTGGCCCTTGACAGAATTTGGACTTGGGCTTGCAGCGCTGTACTCAGAAGTCTGCAAACCAGCGCGTTTTCTAACTCTGAAATAGACCCTCCCTCAAAAAGAGGGAAGGAGTTTTAAAAGTCTCAGAAGCATCTTTCTTTCCTGAGCGCAGAGGTGCTTAGGACTGTGATGCATGAAGATAAAAAGCTCGTTGCAGCTCCACACCTCCTGTTTAGAGAAGGCTTGGCTGGCGTGTTCTCAGCCTGCTGCTCTGAACTCCCAAGAATGTTCTGCCGTAATGGAAATGGAAATATGCTTTTCTTTGTTTGTTCCTTTGAAACCCTGGCTGCAGTTTTAGCTCTTTCGTGCATTCCCAGCTTTTACAAGTTGCTTTCCCTTTTTGTGAAGGGCTCTGAGGAAATGTTATTGAAAGAACAGGACATACATCAAACCGGATTGTTGCAAAAACTGGTTTGTGCTAATGCTTGTTTTGTTCTCCTTTAAGTAGCATTAACTCTTCAGTTTTCGAGCAATCTCAGAGTGATTACTTATTGCAAAGCTCTCTACATTTCCAGTATCCTGAATCTTGCAGTATTATTTGAGATTACATGTTGAGAGCACTTAACTCCCTTTTGAACAGGTCTGACAGCAGTTCAGAATCTATGAACCAGGTCCTCAGCTTACACAAACAGTATTTACAGCAGTTTTGCTTGGATGGGAGGGTCCTGATTTACACCACTTGAGAATCTGGACCTAAAAGCAGAACAGAGAAGCCAGTAGTCCCATCTCATTTCCAATAAGCTAAAATAAAGTCAAGATCTTTGGTCTCCTCTAGACACATCCCGGTGAAAAACTGCCAGTCAAGTGACACACAGTCAATGATTGTCCCAGGAATGTGACAACACAGTCTTGGCTTAGCTCATATAGTAGAGCCCACGAACTGCCAAAGATTTCCTCTCATTCCTCTATGTCATGTGAGACAAATCTTGTACTAAAAATTAATCCAGTAATAATTAATAATCAAACTAATTTTTTGGGGGGAAAAAACTCCAAACAACACCCAGAAACATCTGGATCCCCAAATATGGCTCAGCTATGCTCACAGATAAGGAGTTATTCTTTCCAGAAGTATTCTTTGCATCTCAAACAAGATGTCACATTTTTGAGAGGAAACGTTAAGTCTTGCACTTACTAGGTAGCTATAAGCAGAACAGACAACACTTAAACTGCACCATAAAACCACTTCAATGTCTAGCTTAGCACATGAGGCTGACTACTACATTTTAAAGCCTCACCTTTGACTATCCCATACTGCTCCCTTTGCAGACTGATTAGGAGTAAAATTCCCATTTAACAGATGAGAAAGCAGACGCAGGAAGGCAGGAAAAGGCCCTGCTCTGAAGCTGTATAGTAAGTGAACACTAAGACAAGTCTCCCTCGTCGGCAGTCAACCGTACCCTGTTATTTGCTGATGTAGCAAAATCATTTAGAGCGGAGCACAGAGGGATTGTGCTACTGAAGCCACAGGAAGCAGAGTGTGCCCAGGGTGACAGAAATCCTTTACATAACGTGTAGTGCCTGTGATCTGTGTTACACCAGCATAGACTTGCGTGCGACTCCCACAGCTGCATACTTCTTTTACAGGACCAGGCGTTGCCAAAAGCTTAAAAGCAAAATGATGCTATGAAATCAGGCTGGTTTTTTCTTTTGCAAAGCCAGTTGACACGACATGTCCTTGGCTCCGGAAAGAATTGCTACCATGTCTTTAGAGAGAAGCTGAAAGTTTGCTTCAGCCAAGCCCCTGTTTGCTCAGAGCTGGGCCTGGCAGGTTTCAGAAATTAGTGACCATGCAGGACTGATGCTTGTCAGGAGCATGCTACTTCTGAGCTTTTTCTAAAACAGTCATGTCATCTTCCCACTCCACCTTCCTCCATTTCCCTTGGGAGCCAGGGTTGCGGGAGCCCAGCCACCATGGATGTTCATCTTCTAAAGGCCCCTGAGGGTGATATGTCCTCCAACAGTGGCATTGCAACATCTCCCCTGGAGACACTCCACAACTTGGAAGTGGGATTTGCTTTCAAGTAAATAAGACAAGTACATCCTCTTCTGTTCCTCCCTTTAAATCCTATGATGCTGCCAAGCTCGCCCTTTCTCCTTGTTATTTTAATGCTTCATAGACCTGCAGACTGGCCTCTTTATCCCATTGCCATGACTGTCTAGCTTTGCTTGACATTTTTAGCTCTCTAACTTTCTCTCCCTAGATCAACTCCCCGTGCCCACACTGACATGTTATTCCGACTGCTTTGCTCTTTCAGTTTGCGGTACTGTCCTGGTAATAAATAGAGCAATCAGCACATATCCTCTGAGCAGCCAAAGTTTCCTTCTTCTTTCTCCATTTCAAGATCACAGTATCACCTACTCGTTTCCATCCCTCTCTAATGGATATTCCCAAGTGCATGGCTGGGTCTACAGCCACATGTTTCTGATATTCCAGGGCACCTGGCCTCTGCTCTGAAGCCTCATTACACATCCAAGCCTGTAGACTCGCAAGATAACCAGCCACTCCCTTTGAGCAGCTTATTGCTGTAGTAGATATGAACCTCAGTGAGCTGGGGGAGGTTAGGGAAAGGCCAGCATTAATGGCCATTAGGGAGAGAGATAATTACTTAATGCTAGTACAGTACTTTGATGATGTAAAGCTACATAAGTGCTACATACAAGTAGTATTATACGGCTCAAGGTTTGCCTGCTAGCAAGGAAAGCTGGTGTCTGGGGAAAAATTCTCCTTGTCCCAGCTTTCTGAATGACATCCAGCTGATTAGGAAGGGAAAGATGACATGTTATCCCCAATGACTTCAACAGTACGGCAGCAGGTAGTGGATCAGTAGTGTTCAGTGAAGACTCTGCAATACATTCACAGTTTGGGCCACTAACAGAGATACCATGGAAACTGAAACCAGGGTAGGGCTGAAAAACACTCATGAGAACTTTGGACTGATGGGAATCTGTACACTAACACGTTAAAGGCAGCTTTTGGTGCACAGCCCTGTTTTCCCTCTCCCAGCTCACACACCAGCTCCAGGCTGTAGCCCAAAGAGGCATTCGGAGGGAAGCTACTGAGCCATCCCTCCGTGCTCACAGCTGAAGGTTGCTTCGTGTATCTCAGCTAAGAAAGAAATTTGGTCTCTGGCATACTCCAAGGCTGTGTCCTATTTTCCTTTTTCTGCAGTTTCCTTCTCAACTTTGAAATAAAACGGAAAATAAATCAATGCTTTTGTTTCCCTTGGTTATTTGACATTTGCTTTCCAAGGTCATTTGACAGCTTTCTTCCTGTTCCTGCTGTACTTTAGAGGGGCTCTTCTCCTGCTCCTGCCTTGGTTGTTCACAAGAACAACCATAGGTGTGTTCGTATGGTGCAGCACTATTCGAACCTCCCTGTTGTGTGCAAGAAGCTGGAATTTGTACAGAATCACACAGCAGTAGTGGAGACCTTGGCACCGTTTCTCTCCAGGAAAATCCACTCAAGCACTCAATCGGCACGACCTAGTGATAAGACACACATTCTCTGAC